ATATCGTGTGTGCTAATTAACGACCTTTTCCTACACCACAGCACATCTGAGTTGGGTTCTCGCAACATCATCTCCTCCGACGGTCAATGGACGCTGCCTACACGCTCGCATATGCCCACTATTTTGGATCCGCCAATTGACGTCTACAAATTCGGTCAGTCGACCTGCAGTTGTGAAGTGCTGTGTTTAGTTACGGTTGATTGATTGTTGCGAATCGTCACTGTGTGCGTTGGGTCTTGGGTTATGGCTGTGTTGGGCCTTGGGTTATGGCTGTGTTGTGTTTTGGGTTATGGCTGTGTTGTCGTCTCTCTGTGGGCTGTGGCTGTGTTGTTGTCTTTGTGTGGGTTGTGGCTGTGTGCTGCGTATTGGGTGTTTGATTAGTCGTAGCTTAGTTGTAGCTTAGTTATATACTTATCGAATGTAGTCTAATTGTAACTTAATAATGGCATAATTGTGTTTTAATTCAGTCTACAGTGCTACTTGATTGTAGCCTAATTAATTGCAACTTAATCAATTGTAAGCTTATAATTAATTAGGATACAATTAATTGTAATCTAATTAATTGCAACCTAATTAATTGTAAGCTTATTAACTATAACCTGATTAATTTAAGCTTATTAATTGTATCCTAATTAATTGCAACTTTATTATTTTTAAGCTAATTAGTTGCAACCTAATTAATGGTAACTTAACTAATTGCAACTTAATTAATTGTAAGCCTATTAACTATAACCTAATTAATTGTAACTTAATTAATTGTAACCTAATTAATTGCAACTCAATTAATTGTAAGCTATTTAGTTATAACCTAATTAATTGCAACTTAATTAATTGTATCCTAATTAATTGATACTTTGTGTAACTTGTTTGAGGACGCGCCCGTGTGTTTGCGCATGTGGTACACATATGTTCAACTGAACTCTGCTTCAACGTTAACGATTCCACTCATCTATCTATCTCTAACCAATCCAACCTTCATTCACCGACCCACAGGCAGCACACCAGACGCCACCGACCCCAAACGCGGCAATGCGAAGATAGCTATGTTGACGCTCAACACCCCCAACATTCATCTGTACTCAGACCTGGCCACCATCAATCAGAAGGCCTATGCAGAGAAGCACGGCTACGACTTCTATGTGTACAAGGACTCGACTCTGGGCTGGGAGATGGAGAAGGTGGGTGTATGGCGTTGGGGAGGGTATCTGGTTGTTTTAGTGGGGTTGTCCCGGTTTGTGTACGGGTATAGGGTTGTGTGGTTGGGAGTGTCATGCCGTGCGTGGCCTTTGCTCAGGCTAAGCTGCACACGCGACATCAAGAACGTGTACTATTAGACCCCGTAGTCTGCATGTACCTGCCAACAGTCTATAGTACTCTGCATAAACCACTCCCTTGCGTCTACCTACCAACAGTCTAGAGTGCTTTGCATAAACCACTCCCTTGCATCTACTTATCAACAGTCTATAGTACTCTGCATAAACCACTCCCTTACGTCTACCTACAAACAGTCTAGAGTACTCTGCATAAACCACTCCCTTGCGTCTACCTACCAACAGTCTAGAGTACTTTGCATAAACCACTCCCTTGCATCTACTTGTCAACAGTCTATAGTACTCTGCATAAACCACTCCCTTACGTCTACCTACAAACAGTCTAGAGTACTCTGCATAAACCACTCCCTTACATCTACTTACCAAGTCTATAGTACTCTACATAAACCACTCCCTTACGTCTACCTACCAACAGTCTAGAGTACTCTGCATAAACCACTCCCTTACATCTACTTACCAACAGTCTATAGTACTCTGCATAAACCACTCCCTTACGTCTACCTACCAACAGTCTATACTACCTTGACTAAATCACTCCCTTACATCTACCCCATTAACAGTCTATACCACCGTGCCTAAATCACGCCCTTATGTCTACCTCCACAGGGCTCATGGGACTCCATTGTGACGTGGAACAAAGTCAATGCCATCCCGCGACACCTGCACGACCACGAGTGGATGTTCTGGATTGATTCTGATGCCGTGTTTACGAATATGTCTATTAAGCTCGAGTCCTTCATTGAGCGTGCGGTGAGTGTTGTGACGAGTTATTTGCGCATGACTAGCTCGTAGTGTTCGATATGTGAGGTTGTATGTGATTCTTGTGGGTGTATAGTTTCTCGGAAACGCACACACACACACGCACACACACACACACACACACACACACACACACACACACACACACCACACACACACACACACACACACACACACACACATATATATATATATATATATATATATATATATATATAGTATACTATA